TAAAACTAGATACCCTAGTGATGATTGTGGCCAAGTTCGGTTAAATTTGTCTCAGTTGTTTCAGGAGAGAAGATTTTTGTAAAAGATTACAAAAATTTACGAATAATTGTTAAATTTGACTTTAAAGGGCAATAACTCCTTATGGGGTAAATTGACCATATTGGTCATGTTGACTTAACGGTATTTGTAGATCTTACTTTGCTGAACATTATTGCTGTTTACAGTTTATCTCTATAATAATATTGAAGATGATAACAAAAAAACTGCAAAATTTCCTTAAAATTACTAATTCAGGGGCAGCAACCCATCAACGGCTTGTCTGATTCGTCTGAAAATTTCAGGGCAGATAGATCTTAACATGATGAACATTTTTACCCCTTTCAGATTTGCTCTAAATGCTTTAGTTTCAGAGATATAAGCCAAAAACTGCATTTTACCCCTATGTTCTATTTTTAGCCATGTGGGCCATCTTGGTTGGCAGGCGGGGTCATCGGACACATTTTTTAAACTAGATAACCCTAGTGATGAATGTGGCCAAGTTTGGTTAAATTTGGCCCAGTAGTTTCAGAGGAGAAGATTTTTGTAAAAGTTAACGAACGACAGACGCCAAGTGGTGAGAAAAGCTCACTTGGCCCTTTGGGCCAGGTGAGCTAAAAATGCAAGATTTAATTAAAACAATCCCAAAAATTTCTGAATTTACAGTATATGAATTGAACATTATAAACATATGGGACATTTAAGGTAAAGCACAAACGTATTTTTTTACGTTGGATTCTGTGCAGGATTGAAGGAAATTTATAACAATCTTAATATTGAATTCAACAAATTCACTAAGTTTCTGACATTAATTATTTTTTTCTAAACATCAAGAACTTTACAACTATTTTAAGCATTCTATATTATATTCATGATATTAACATGATTTAGGACAATACCTTGTAATATGAACGTTTTTTTTAATTTTAGTTCATTTATATGTTTCCGAGTTTAGTGTGACGTCCATTTTTATATGACCGCAAAAAAATTTTGTGGTCGTATATTGGTATGACGTTGGCGTCGTCGTCGTCGTCGTCCGAATACATATTGGTTTTCGCACTCTAACTTTAGTTTAAGTGAATGGATCTTTTTGAAATTTGACCATAAGGTTAAATACCACAAAAGGAAGGTTGGGATTGATTTTGGGGGTTATGGTACCAACAGTTAAGGAATTAGGGGCCAAAAAGGGGCCAAAAATGAGCATTTTCTAGTTTCCAGACAATAACTGTGGAACGGTGTATGGATCTCTCTGAAATTATACTACAAGTTTCCATACCACAAAGGGATGGTTAGGATTTGCTTTGGGGGGTTATGGCTCAAACCGTTTAGGAATTAGGGGCAAAAAAGGGGGAAAAACAAGGTTGTCCTGGTTAATGGACAAATACTTTAGTACAAAACATAATTTAAAGCAGTGTAAGGGAAATAAATCAAATACATCATTGTAATTATCTCCCTTACACTGCTTTTAAATTATGTATAAAGTAATGGTTAATGAACAATAAAGATAATCTAAAACAGTGTAAGGGAGGTAATCCAAATACAACGTTTTGGTTACTTCCCTTACACTGCTTTTAAATTATGTTTAAAGAAATGCATATTTATAAAGGAAGACCAGTAAAAATATCTGCAAATGTTTTCATCTTTTTTTTTTACAAAAAAATCCATATGAAAGATTTGACACTATATTTTTATTAATTCTATTATAAAATAGATTAAGTTAGCACTATGGTAAATTTAAATGGGTAATTATGGTTGCCAACTCCATTGGAAATTTGAATTGAGATTATGACCATATCTTGAGGGAAAGAATTTTTTTGGGGGAAAAAGGGGGGGGGGGGGATAAAAAGAAATTGTGTGGGGCCAATTTTTTCTCATTTCAGATTTCAGAAATTAAAAAGAATTATTCTTCAAATATTATTTTTTTTTCAAATTTCAAATATTGAAAAATTTCAAGAAGTAATCTTTAATTGCACAGTATGGCGCATTAGATTTGTAAAATCTTTGATCACATTTATTTATTTGTTATGCCGAATCTAACAGTGTATTTAGATTTTTAATTTTGGGTAAAGTTTTCAAATTGGTCTACATTAATGTCCAAAGGGTCCAAAATTAAACTTTGTTTGATTTTAGCAAAAATTGAATATATGAGGTTCTTTGATATGCTGAATCTAAACATGTATTTAGATTTTTGATTTTTGGCCCAGTTTTCAAGTTGGTCCAAATTGGGGTCCAAAATTAAACTTTGTTTGATTTCAACAAAAATTGAATATATGGGGTTCTTTGATATGCTGAATCTAACCATGTATTTAGATTTTTTATTTGTGGACCCCGTTATCTAATTGGTTCATATTGAGGTCAAAAGGGTCCAAAATTAAACTTTGTTTGATTTCATCTAAAATTGAATTATTGGGGTTCTTTGATATTCCAAATCTAACCGTGTATTTAGGTTTTTAATTTTGGGTCCCGTTTTTTAAATTGGTCTTCATTGAGGTCCAAAGGGTCCAAAATTAAACTTAGTTTGATTTTGACAAAAATTGAATTCTTGGGGTTCTTTGATATGCTGAATCTAAACATGTGTTTAGATTTTTGATTATGGGCCCAGTTTTCAAGTTGGTCCAAGTTGGGGTCCAAAATTAAACTTTTTTTTATTTCAACAAAAATTGAATATATGGGGTTCTTTGATATGCTGAATCTAACCATGAATTTAGATTTTTTATTTGTGGGCCCCGCTATCAAATTGGTTCATATTGAGGTCAAAAGGGTCCAAAATTAAACTTTGTTTGATTTCATCAAAAATTGAATTATTGGGGTTCTTTGATATTCCAAATCTAACCGTGTATTTAGATTTTTAATTTTAAGTCCCGTTTTTTAAATTGGTCTACATTAAGGTCCAAAGGGTCCAAAATTAAACTTAGTTTGATTTTAGCAAAAATTGAATTCTTGGGGTTCTTTGATATGCTGAATCTAAACATGTGTTTAGATTTTTGATTATGGGCCCAGTTTTCAAGTTTGTCCAAGTTGGGGTCCAAAATTAAACTTTGTTTGATTTTAACAAAAATTGAATATATGGGGTTCTTTGATATGCTGAATCTAACCATGTATTTTGATTTTGGACATTGGACCATAATAGGTAAATTAAAAAAATTCAAGTTCTTTGACCACATTCTTTCTGTGTCAGAAACCTATGCTGTGTCAAATATTTAATAACAATCCAAATTCAGAGCTGTATCAAGCTTGAATGTTGTGTCCATACTTGCCCCAACTGTTCAGGGTTCGACCTCTGCGGTCGTATCAAGCTGCGCCCCAGCGAAGCATTTTATTACTGAACTAGTACACATTTTCGTTTAGGGGCCAGCTGAAGCCCGCCCCCGGGTGAGGGATTTTCTCGCTGTGTTGAAGACCTATTTGTGGCCTTGGGCTGTTTTCTGCTCTTTGGTTGGGTTGTTGTCTCATTGACACATTCACCGTTTCCATTCTCAATTTTATTATCATGATTCATGTAGCAAGGTAATGATTAGTTTTAGTTGGTGCTAGTGCAGGCATATTATTCTACATTACTGTTTATATATATATAGCTACATGTCAGTCATTCGCAAGGTCACTGTACACTTGGCAAAGGCCAGTAAAAATTGGTTTGGTCCAGTTAAGTTATGCATTACTGGACCAAATGACCAAATTTTTTTTTTTAATTTTATCCAAATCATATGTGTAAATGTCCTGTAAAAAAGAGTCTGGTCCAGTTAACATGGTTAAGAAGAATGGTTTACTGGACCAAATGTCCAGTTGATTTCTCAAAGCCTTGAGAACCGCTGGTACAATGCGATATGTATGTATGTGTGTGTATGGTATACAATTGCAAGTATATATATAGGGGACGGTAATATTCTGGTGTCATTCATTTCAAATTGCCATAACTACATGCGAGTCCTGTTATCCTTATTTATGTGCATTTATTTTTTCATTTAAAAGATTATGATTTTAAATCACCGAGTTCTTTCTCATCTACAAAAATTTATGAACATTATATTCAATACATTAACAATTAGCATTATTATTATGTAATTTTAACAAAAAGGCAGTAACTAATAGAGGTTCATTGGGACAAATAAAAATTGGTTTTATCTAAAAATAAGACAAAGTAACAATTTGGTGGTTTGTAAAGATATACAGAAATCAGGAAACAATTTTATGACAATAATGTATAAATTTAAGGAAAGTTATTGTCAGTTAGGAAGGTAATTGGGGGTAATTGAAATTATCTATGTAAATAATGCAACCGAAACCCATCTTAAGCATGTCAAGTATCTATATGATTACTGATGTACTCAAAAGTTAAAGTAGTTAATTCCTAGTTTAAAAAAAAAAAACAACACCCATCATGCCCATATAGGCAACATGAATTTAAATTTATTCTGTCTATTTGGCTGTCCATGGCCACTGTATTAATTATAAATAATGGACTTGGTTTTTTTTTGCTGTCAACATTTAAAGACTTTATTATGTTTTTTTAAAACCTTAATGGAATTTTACAAAGTTTTTTTGCAGTCTATTTAAATGTAGATACAAATTAGGGTTAAATATTTAAAACCAGAATAACTAAAGTTACCAAACCTTCATGGAGCTTTTTCAAAGCGTAGACTGAAGTACCGCCATAATCCAGCTATACATGCCTCAGGCTCACCTTTAGCAAAATTCTGTTTTCACTTTTGATAGCTGGACATTGTTTTCTGACAGTCAGCATTACACTTTTAACTTGACAGCAGCAGTGGCAGGCAAGACGCAGGGTTCTGTGAAACCCCACAAATTTGTGTAGCTTTTCTGAATTATAAATATTCCTTCTTCATTTTTTCTTTGACCATACTTACGTTAAACTCCTATTTAAGATAATTTTTCGGAATCCATATATTTTCTTGAAATCAAGGTAATGGACTTTATTCCAAATGATATAAATTTTCTATTTGCAGAAATCATGGTACGAAAGTTAATAAAAGAATTATGGCTATAACGATATGGAGACTTTGTGGCCGAGCTCCAAATAGTCGCCAACTGTTAGTGACAGCCTGCTTCCTATTCTTATTTTGGTGTTTATCCTTGTACAGAGTAACGACTATCAACCAATCGAGAGAAAGTGATTTACTTAAGGTATGTTTCCATGACAATGCTCGGACCCAGGATTTGATGGGGAGGATGAGGTGCTCCTGAGATTTAGGAATTAGTAAACCGTATTTTGACACAAGATTGGCTGTAATTTTACTTTTGTTATATATATCTTAATTTTACGGGGGAAATGCACCCAGTGCTCCACCAATAAAACAATATTGTCAAGAGTGCTGAATGTGGTGTCAACCACCAACAATCATGACAATAAAAGTAAAAAGATGTGTGGTATACATTTATTTTGTCAATGTGTACATGACTGAGACAGCAATCATATGGCACAATGAACCAAAAGAGGGTCACATCTAGAGGGCAAAGTACAGCTGAAAACAAAGTTGATTTTTCCATTTAAGAGATTTTGTTTATTGCATCTATCCCAATGATCCAATGCTACTGATACATGTAGGTCTTCATTAGGAATGGCTTGCATCAAGAAATTAAGAGTACTTTTGCAGATAGATCAGCAGTTTTATTTGTATTTATTCGTTGATTTATAGATATTAACTGATAGCCTTTACAACTCTCAATCCTAAAAATCAAATGTGAAAAGAAAGTACAACAATAACTGGCTTTAAAAAGTCAAGACAATTAGATCAAAGCCCTTTCAACAATGTTCAATTTGTTATATTTTAGTAAATTATTTGATACATTTTATGATGGTTTATGGGTAAATACAATATATTTATGTATTAAAAAAAATCTATAAGGTACAGTGAAAAGCTTTAACAGTATAATGAAACTGTTAGAAAATTCCTCATGTTCCTACCATCTGTCACCTTATTGCAGTAAAATATTTATCATGTTTATTAGGATCAAATTAAATACACAAAGGATAATTGACTCATAGAATACACACTGTAAGTCAATTCAGTTTAAAATCGCTACTGCTGGAGAATTTCCATATTGAGCACAGGTGATTATGTTTGTTTCAGTGTGAATAATTTTTCCTTATATATCATACATGTACATGATGTAGGTAATATGATACAAGGATGTTAATTGGAGTGTTATCCATCCAAAGGTCATTCAGAATATGATCAAATATTTGCCACTGGATGTTAGTTAAACAAACAATAATCCATCAATCTCCTCCATTTTCAAACAATATTCACCACTCAACAATAAACAAATCATTTTAATATGTGCCCTGTACCCATGGTACCTTACAAAAACTATTGTCTCTTAACAGTACATACTACATCTAATCTGGTCTCTCAACCAATTGTAAACAACAGTACATACTACATGTAAACTGGTCTCTTAACAGTACTAATACTACGTCTCAACTGGTCTCTTAATAGTACATACTACATCTAGACTGGTCTCTTAATAGTACATACTACATCTAGACTGGTCTCTTAACAGTAAATACTACATCTAAACTAGTCTCTCAACCAATTGTAAACAACAGTACATACTACATGTAAACTGGTCTCTAAACAATACATTTGTACATACTACATCTAAACTGGTTTCTTAACAGTACATACTACATCTAAACTGGTCTCTTAACAATACATACTATATCTAAACTTGTCTATCAACAATACATACTACATCTAAACTGGTCTCTCAACAATACATACTACATCTAAACTGGTCTCTCAACAATACATCCTACATCTAAACTGGTCTCTCAACAATACATACTACATCTAAACTGGTCTCTCAACAATACATACTACATCTAAACTGGTTTCTTAACAATACATACTACATCTAAACTGGTCTCTCAACAATACATACTACATCTAAACTGGTCTCTCAACAATACATACTATATCTAAACTTGTCTATCAACAATACATACTACATCTTAACTGGTCTCAACAGTACATACTACATCTAAACTGGTCTCTCAACAATACATACTACATCTAAACTGGTCTCTCAACAATACATACAACATCTAAACTTGTCTCTCAACAATACATACTACATCTAAACTGGTCTCTCAACAATACATACTACATCTAAACTGGTCTCTCAACAGTACATACTACATCTTAACTGGTCTCAACAGTACATACTACATATAAACTGGTCTCTCAACAGTACATACTACATCTAAACTGGTCTCTCAACATTATATACTACATTTAAACTGGTCTCTCAAAAATACATACTACATCTAAACTGGTCTCTCAACAGTACATACTACATCTAAACTGGTCTCTCAACAATACATCCTACATCTAAACTGGTCTCTCAACAGTACATACATCTAAACTGGTATCTCAACAATACATACTACATCTTAACTTGTCCTTCAACAAATTGTAAACAAAAGTACAGAATGCATCTAAACTGGTCTCTCAACCAATTGTAAACAACAGTACGGAATACATCTAAACTGGTCTCTCAACCAATTGTAAACAAAAGTACAGAATGCATCTAAACTTTCTCGCTGCATTGAAGACTAGTTGGTGACCTTCTGCTGTTGTCTGTTCTATGGTCGGGTTGTTGTCTCTTTGACACATTCCCCATTTCCATTCTCAATTTTAGTCTCTCAACCATTCCTAAAGAACAGTATGGAACACATCTAAACTGGTCTCTCAACCAATTGTAAACAAAAGTGCAGAATGCATCTAAACTGGTGGCTCAACCAATCCTAAAGAACAGTATGTAACACATCTAAACTGGTTTCTCAACCAATTGTAAACAAAAGTACGGAATACATCTAAACTGGTCTACCAACTATTTGTAAACAACAGTATGGAATACATCTAAACTGGTCTCTCAACCTATCCTAAAGAACAGTATGGAACACATCTAAACTGGTCTCTCAACGTATCATTAACAACAGTACAGAATACTGTTTTTCTTGATGTATTTATAGAAGGAAGATCCAAGTTTGCTGTATTTGCACAGATTTCTATTCACGTTTTTTGTCAAGTCACGAAATTTAGTAGGTGTACAGTATTTCCAATTTGTAGCTTGTATAGATTAATCTTATCAAAAGAGAAGATTGTGTCATATAGCAGTACGCTAGATAAACAAAAAGGTATATATGTCTATTAAAGAGGTGGCATTACATGTGACTCTTCAAGTCATTCATGTTCATAAACACATTACTCTATTAGTCCACATTCTCTCACTCAATGTATATCTTGGTATTGGGTGAAACACAATTGAGGGGACATCTACAATGTCAAAAATGAATGTGTCTTTGTTTCATGTTAATCAAATATTATCTTTTAGCTAATTTATTGATAAAAGAAAACCAGTTTTCTGTTTTTATACGACCACAAAAGGAAGGTTGGGATTGATTTTGGGGGTTATGGTACCAACAGTAAAGGAATTAGGGGCCAAAAATAAGCATTTTTGTAACTTCCAGACATAACTTGTGTGTTAGTGTATGGATCTCTCTGACATTGTACCACAAGGTTCCATATCACAAAAGGAATGCTGGGATTGATTTTGGGGTAATTGCCTCAAAATTTTAGGAATTAGGGGCCAAAAAAGGGGCAAAAAAAAAGCATTTTTCTAGTTTCCAGACAATAACTTGTGTTCAAGTGTATGGATCTCTCTGAAATTGTACTGCACGGTACCATTCCACAAAGGGAAGGCTGGGATTGATGATGGGGGGTAATTGCCTCAATATTTTAGGAATTAGGGGCCAAAAAGGGGCAAAAAACAAGCATTTTTTCTAGTTTCAGGACAATAACTTGTGTGTAAGTGTATGGATCTTTCTGAAATTGTACTACAAGGTTCCATATCACAAAGGGAAAGCTGGGTTTGAGTTTGGGGGTAATTGCCCTAAACGTTTAGGAATTTGGGGCCAAAAAGGGGCAAACAAACAAGCATTTTTCTAGTTTTCAGACAATAACTTGTGTTCAAGTGTATGGATCTCTCTGAAATTGTACTGCAAGGTACCATACCACAAAGGAAAGGCTGGGATTGAGTTTGGGGGTGATGAATCATAAGGGGGTTCAAAAAATTTCGGGGGGGGGTTTTATCCTTTTTTATACGACCGCAAAAAAATTTTTGTGGTCGTATATTGGTATGACGTTGGCGTCTTCGGCGTCGTCGTCGTCCGAAGACACATTAGTTTTCGCACTCTAACTTTAGTTTAAGTGAATGGATCTCAATGAAATTTTACCATAAGGTTCAATACCACAAAAGGAAGGTGGGGATTGATTTTGGGGGTTATGGTACCAACAGTTAAGGAATAAGGGGCCAAAAAGGGGCCAAAAATAAGCATTTTTGTAACTTCCAGACATAACTTGTGTGTAAGTGTATGGATCTCTCTGACATTGTACTACAAGGTTCCATATCACAAAGGGAATGCTGGGATTGATTTTGGGGGTAATTGCCTCCAAATTTTAGGAATTAGGGACCAAAAAGGGGCAAAAAACAAGCATTTTTCTAGTTTCAAGACGATAACTTGTGTTCAAGTGTATGGATCTCTCTGAAATTATACTGCAAGGTACCATACTACAAAGGGAAGGCTGGGATTGATGATGGGGGTAATTCCCTCAAAATTTTAGTAATTAGGGGCCATAAAAGGGCAAAAAAACAAGCATTTTTCTAGTTTTAGGACAATAACTTGTGTGTAAGTGTATGGATCTCTCTGACATTGTACCACAAGGTTCCATATCACAAAGGGAATGCTGGGATTGATTTTGGGGGTAATTGCCTCCAAATTTTAGGAATTAGGGACCAAAAAGGGGCAAAAAACAAGCATTTTTCTAGTTTCAAGACAATAACTTCCCAAGAGAAAATGAAAACGGGATCTATCGGGATCCCAGTCAAATCCCGGTAAAATTAGCGGGATAAGCCGGGATGGGCCTCAGAAGTCGGGATTCCATTCGGGATAAATATCTGAAACTGGGATCCCATTCGGGATATATGTCTGAAACTGGGATCCCATTGGGATATCTGTCTCAAGCTGGGATCCAATCCCAGTTGAAGCAAGATAAATATACGAAACTGGGATCCCATTGGGATAACTGTCTGAAACCGGGATCCCATCTTACTGTAAA